CCCACAAAGAGTGGCCATGTCGATGCCGACCCTAGGAAAAGCAAGTAAAGATGGTGGCGGAAAGGGCAATTGGTGAGTTTCCATTGGGGAATCCCTCCCTACAAAAAGAAACAAACCCACAGTTACCCACTGATGAAAATACCCATATCCTCTTGCCGTATATGGTTACAACGTAAAAATCGTTCTCCGACTTTTGCTGAGATCATAATTTCATAGGGGCCGTTCTGGAGACGAAGTGCAGGACTACGGGTATACCTTCACCAACGCCAGACGTCGTTCCAACAGCAGCACGCAAGGGCTGGCGGATTTCAAGACCAAGTTCGAAACTATTGAAACGGATCCGGTCTTCGAGGAGGAAATACATGGCCCGCTTGAGGATATCGACGGTGTGGATGGGGTTAGGGTCAAGACCAATGATAGTAGCAGCACCAGCGCCACCAGCGAGGAGGACATTGAAGTGAAGAAGGCTTAGATTTTGGTCAAATCCTTTCCTCCACCGTTATGCCTCTACCACACATCTTCTTCTGCTCTTATTCAAAGGATTTTTCCCTCCCCACGTCCCCCTCTTTTTTTTTTTTTTTTTTTTTTTTTTTTTTTTTTTGTTGTTATATGGAGTTTTATCGGCTCGGTTGTTGTTAGTATTTGTGGGTGTTGTTGGCTCTTTCCCCTTCATTTTTGCCTTGAGCCCGTGTGATGCCCCGGGCGAACCTTATCCCCTGCTGTGAGTGGAAGGGCTGGTTTTCCTTTTCCCAATGATGTGCCTTGTCTCATTGGGATAATGTGGAATTGACACATAGCGCCAATCAGATTTCAGAAATTTAAAGTATAACTAGTTATTGTAATACAACTTACAATAAGAAAGGAAACATATATTTATTTTTATATTGATCGTTTTTACCAGCTGATGCGTGTGGCTATTTTTGATTTTTGATTTTTGATTTTTGATTTTTTTTTTTTTTTTTTTTTTTTTTTTTTTTGAAAAAAGAGAGAGAGAGATAGCGTGCGCTTTAGATATGTTCGATGCATGAAATTTTGTTCATGGGTGAGCTTGAAACATTCCTTGATAAGCTAGATACCGCTGCTGGGGGAGTCACTTGTGACAATAGTTTTTAATTGGGATCTCCATGATTGATCCCGGCGGAAACTTTGAACCACACTCAATATTATTGAACCACGCTCAATTGTGCGCTAGTCGGGACATTTGCTCGACGGGATAAGAGGGTACTTATTCATGCCAGCCTGGCATATCGCCGAGCTGCCACTGTCGATCTTGGGATTCTCTTTCCATATTCGCCGGCGGCACCCCATAATCAACATAAGAATTCAATACGGGCACACCACAAAATGAGCCCCTGTGGGGTTTTGGAATTGGAAAAGCGTGCGGTCCAGTTTTTGCAATATTAAATACGCAATATTGGGGGAGGCTGTCCGCATTGTTTTTGGCGTTCTCCTCCATGAAGAACAAAAGATGTTTTCTCAATACCCTTACCCCCCCCGCCCGCTGCTAGAGTGAGGAACTGAACGTGTTGCTCATTGTCCGGAAGAAGACGTATATGTACATACACGTCTCGTAATATGATGCAACCGCAAGGCACACGTAGCTGGGAGAGAGCCCGCGATGCCCATACATATCATCTGTATCCCAACTAGATAGTTCAACTGATTGACCTCCATAGAGCGCCCGCGGGAGTTACGGTCCATAACCAAGTTATGTGATCCAGCATCACTCTCTATGGTCCTTTGTTTAACCATATTTCCAAAGACACGTAAAGTCCAGCCCGGCAAGATTTCCACCCACCCACGGTGACGCTCGCGCGGCTTGCGGAAGTTGGAGCAGGGGAGGACTTGCTCTCAAGGAAGCAATGCGCTGAGCTTGATGGGTTTTGTTTGAGAAGTCGCTGTCGGATAGAAAGTAAGAGTAGGAGGAGGTAGCACTATTCATGCTTTCCTGGGTTGTGTAGAAGCTAGCCACAAATACCATAGTTTCGATTGAAAAGTTTTCGCGGCTTCAGCAAGCATGACATCTGGTGACTTTTGCCGGCGGGAATGGTCTCAATTAATCAGAATCTTCCCCGGTTTCTAAAAAAGCAACCTGCTTGTATTCCAGGAGTTTTCAAATGAAGAATGTGAGGTCACTGGGAATGATTTTTTTGACAATCGTGAGGAGTTTCAGGTTTGATCATAGCCAGTACCGTGGATATCATGTGACCCGCGCCAAACAACCTAACGCTTCATCGTCGGAGCTCCAAACTGTAAACAGAAGAACACATTTGAACTTGCGGAGCGCGGTTGGCCAACAGCTGGAACAGACAGCTACCAGCTTTGGCTTCCTTTACACTCTTAAGCTGTCGCCACCCCTGTTATTTCCCCCTTCACTATCATGTTCTCCAGTAATGTCGCAGCTCACCCCTCTGTCGCTGCCTTGCGAAACCCACGTCGGCGGCAGAGAAGCAACGCAGATGAGTCGGTGAAGCCCCCCAAAGCAAAACGACAACGCTCAACGTTGCGCCAGGATGACAGAGAACCTGCTGTGGTCAAACACTTTGGCGAGGCACAGTCGCTACAGGTTGACGAGAATGGGCCGGAGCAGATTTCAAGTCGACCGGTGACAGTGAGCGAACTCGCGCTGAGAGCACCTAGGAAGCAGGAGAAACGTGGAGATCTTACGGACGGTACTATTACTCTTGTAAGAGAACCGTTTGTTGTTTTCTTTATCTTTATCTATCCCTCATATTGTGTCTCTACAAAGAATCTCGGACGCTGACCTTTGATCCTAGTCCAGCAACGACTTCTACACCGTTTCGCACCTACCTTCGTTACCTGAGCAGATCAAGGAAAACCCGACAGGTAAGTTGAACCTTAAAATCACCTTTTGAATGGCTATATTCTGATGGATGGATTTTTATTTAGCGCCATTGAGATATACAATTAGCTCGTCGAATGGATACTGCCTTGCCCTTTCGCAACATGAAGCTATCGTTTGGCCGTACACAATCCCCCCCCAGTCCCTCACTCCAAGCACCGTCCTTCAGTTTGCTATCCCGTGCCCGGCGAGGCATTCCGATGACCCTCTTCCCTTAGGGACGCTTATATCCAAATCTGCTGAGGGCAACCCAGGTTTGATGGTTGTTGTTCCATCAACGGGAAAAATTACTCTTTGGGAAACAGTTTCGAACGCTGCCATTCTTGGGCTCATGAAACAAAGACAAAACGGAATTCAAGGGCACATACCTGGCATGTTATCCGGAGAGATGGCTACGGAAATCATTAACGCCGAACCTTCGGAATTATCATTGCGTTGTCTACTGGTCGCCTCGCCCATGTGTCTATTCGCGATTCACAAGGCAAACCTGGCATCTCTGTTCAATTGCTTCATGGGATATCGCGAGGGAGTAATGTTGGCCTCTTCGAGGGAATCAGAAGTGTGCTCTCTGGTAGCTCATGGTAAAAGAAAAATCGCTGCTGCTAAGGCTGGCATGTCGTCCCAACCGCGGTC